TGACTACCATTTTGATGGCAAGACATTTTAAAATCATGTAGGTTGGCTTAATGCAGCACTTTCCATAATCCAGTGTGTTTTAAATCATGTAGGTTGGCTTAATGCAGCACTTTCCATAATCCAGTGTGTTTTAAATCATGTAGGTTGGCTTAATGCAGCACTTTCCATGATCCAGTGTGTTTCAGCAGCTGTAGCAATCAGACAATCTCAAGACAACACAATAACATCCAGAATCCAGACTCTCTGTGTATTTCCCGTCTTTTTTCTTTTACATTACTTCACTCTCTTTTTAAGAACTTTGCTACTTTAAAACTACTTTTTTCTCTTTGTTTGTTTTGGTTTGGTTTTCTAAGACAAAGCTTCTCTATATAACAGTCCTGGCTGTCCCGGAACTCACTCTGTAGTCAGGCTGGCCTTAGACTTACAGAGATCTGCCTGCCTCTGCCTCCCAAGTTCTGGGATTAAAGGCATTTTTAAATCTATGGCTGTATACATGCTTTCTTTTCTCTCTCCCAAGTGTATGTATATTTTTTAACACACTATGACTAATTTAGAGGTTTTGTATTCGTCTGAATCTGTCTTTACTGTGTATCTGTAATCTTTTTCTGACCACATAAGCCTTTAAACTGCTGAGTGTCATGGTCAGGACCTCCCCCTTTGTTTTTGTGGCTGGTTCCTTCCTTCGGGCAGCTGCCAGGAGATACTCTTTTGTAGTGGGAGAGACTATAGGAACCTGCCCCTCTGCATATGTCAAGCCCCTCAAGCCCGCAGACAATGATCAGGAGATGTATCTCAGCATCATGGCTGACTTGAGAGACGTGAGACTAGGAAGCTGTGCATGGCTCCACTTTTGTGCTTAGACACTTTATTTATTGTTTTTAGCTTTGTTAGGATTTATGCGTGAATTCTGGCCCTACATTGGAACACAATTTGTAGGCTGACTTTTTTTTTCTCCATCTGCCAGTTCCCAAATAGTGCTGTGGAATATTCCTTTACACTCTGTGAATATATGTCCTGTAAATGGTTTAATAAGAAACTAACCGGCCAACCTGAGCAGGATAAGGTTAGGAGAGGAGTCACGCTGAGAATGCTAGGGGAAAGAGGGATGGAGCTGAGGAGTCGCCTGCAGATACAGAGAGCAGCAAGATGGGCATGGCGTACTCAAAAACTCATTATGCAGCCAATGCTAACCTCAAATTCCTGATCCTCCTGCCTCCATCTCCCAAGTGCTAGGATGACAGTTGTACACTGTCATACCAGCCTTTCCGTCTTTTTTTTTTTAAGATTTATTTATTTATTATGAATACAACATCCTGCTTCCATGTATGTCTGCATGACAGAAGAGGGCGCCAGATCTCATTGCAGATGATTGTGAGCCATCATGTGGTTGCTGGGAATTGAACTCAGGACCCCTGGAAGAACAGTCAGTGCTCTTAACCTCTGAGCCATCTCTCCAGCCCTCTTGCTTTCTTTTAGGGAGGCAGGGTCTTGCTATGTAGACCTGGCCGACCTGGAACTCTGTGTGTGGCTCACACTGGCTTTGAACTTGAAGCAATCCCCCTGCTTTAGCCTTCCAAGTACTGGGATTGCAGGTGTGCAGTACCATGCTCGGATAATTGATCAAATACTTCCATCAATTTCCAGGCCTCAGGGGGCATCAGAACAACTCAAATATCAGCCATGTCTCTTCCCTCTAACCGATACAAGGCAAGGACAGGAGAACGGTCAGAGGAAGAGCTATGTCCTGTGGGGCAGACCGTGGTAGAGAGACAGTTCTCTGAGAAGTTCTGGGACTACCCTTGAAGGATGAGTGGCACTTCATTTATTAATTTATTTATTTGTTGTTGTGAGATATGTATATATGTGCACACACACATACTTTTTTTTTTTTTTTGGACAGGGTACCATGTCATTCAAGCTGGCCTCAAACTCCGTATCCTCAGGATGATTCTGAACTGTTCTTCTGCCTCCACTCCTCAAGTACTGGTGTTTGAAGGGGGTCACTATAGGTTTTCCAGCTTTACCTCACTGTCTCCAAGAATGGCCCTCGGGAGGCTCACCAGTGAAGACTTAGTTATTGTGGAACCGACCGTCGTTCTCTCTGTCTTACTTCGGGTAGGGCTTCTATCATGGCTCCTGAGAGGTGAAGGCAAGAAGAGTAAGAGTTCAAGGTCATCCCCGAAAGCGCGTTTGAGTCCTATCTGAACTACTTGAGAACTCCTCTCAAAACCAAAACAAAACAGCGTGAGCAGACCTGGAGAGGCAGGACAGCAGTAGGGGTGGGGGTATGGGGGGGTTGGGGGGTAGGAGGTAAGGGGGTGGGAGGGTAGGTGGTGGGTGGTGGGTGGTGGTGGTGGTGGTGGTGGTGGTGGCAATAGTAGGTGGTCTAGGTGGTCTAGTATGAGGGTTTGGGAGTGCTCAGGAATGGTGGATAAAAGTACAAAGAGCTCTGCCTCCAGACCAACAAAAATGGAATTTCAGCTGTGTGTAGTGGGCGGGGGTGGGGGTGGGGGTTGGGGGGGGTGTTGCTGTCACTCATGATCTTTGCTAAAATAAGGAAATTACCTAATTTTCCCCTCATTTAGGAAGCAGCATGCAGGGCGCACTTCTTGGGTGAGCTGTGAGACAGGCAGAGCAGTCTCTTGCTGGCTTTTATTAATCTGTTACTGCATCTGCCGGTGCATTCTTTTGGGTATTAAAGGAAAAAGGATGCCATGATATATCCAGTACACAGGAAGTACTCTATGCCTTCTGTTGAATGAATAAGTAACACTGTAGTGGAAGAATGTTAAGTAATGGACTCTGAATGGCTCCCAGATTGCTGGCTTGGGCCACTCCTTAAACAGCAGGCAGCCCTTGCCCAGTGACAGGTGATACTGGGGAGATGGAGGCTAAATTGGCCTTAACCACTGGAGTATTAGTTACTTTTCTATTGTTGTGCTAAACCACCACAACCAAACGCAACTTACAGAAGGAATGGTTTGTCTTGGCTTATGATTCCAGGGGAGTAAGAGTCCCTGAGGAGGTGAGTCATGACGGCAGGAGTGAGAAGCTGAGCACTCACATCTTGAACCTCAGCTCGAAGCAGAGAGCAGATCAAAAGTAGGCAAGGGTTTTTACCAAGCCTGCCACTGGTAACGTACTTCTTCCAGCAAGGCCTCATCACCTTAGTCTCCCCCAACAAGCACCATCAACTGGAGGATAAGTTGCCCAAGACTTTGGAAGAACATATAGTCACAACCTGCACAACAACACGTGTAATGAGTACTTTCTCTGTCCTGCCAGCCAGCTCCTAAATAATGACACAGAGACTTCTTATGATTATGAGAGCTTAGCCTATAGCTTAGGCTTATTCATAATTGGTTTTTATAACTTAAATTAGCCCATATTTTTATTAATCTACATACTACCATGTGGCTTTTACCTGTCTCCCATTCTGTGTGTCTGACTCGTTCCACACAGAAGCCACCATCCTATAACGTTAACTTAAGTTTGCTGGTGTCCCGTATCTGCTCACATCCCCCCCCCGAATTACATTCTCCAGGTAGTAAATGCCAAAATCTTTAAACTGGTTCATAAACTCTCACATGACTGAGTTCCCGCACTCATGTGTTCTCCTCTCTGTCACAGCCAGGGTGCTGCTCTGTTGCCTGGACTCTTCCTCTGCTTACACTGTTTTCCCAACACACACACACACACACACACACACACACACACACGCTCGCCCCTGGTGTCCTTTGGGTCTTTAAACGGCACATGCTCAGCAAGGCCTCCCAGAAAGCATTATCTACAAGTGCAGTCCCAACACTTGATGTCCTGTGTCCTTGTTTTGTTTGTCTGAGTGTGGCTCACCCCATTTCACCCACTGCATATTTACTGATTTTTCTTGTTTACTTTTCGTCTTGCCCCACCATGGTTAGAGGATCTTTGCCCTTCTGTTCATTGCCATTTCCAGGGCAGTGCCTGACATGTGGCAGGCGGGCAAGCATTCCCTGTTTGTTGGATGAGAGTGTATGAGATCACAGAAGGCAGAAAGACTATAGTTTGGCTTTTCTGTCTGCTTCCATCTTTTAGTGGCCATTCTTGGCCGGGAGGTGGAAACATGTCAACTTGCTGCACTAGGGGGATAAGGAAGATATATTTAAGATACATGACATGATGTCTTTATTTTCCCTCTACCACTAAGCTATATGCCTAGTCCTATTTTTACTATATATATATATATTTTTTAAATCTCACCGAGCTTTTATTTCAGTGCCCGAAAGAATGAAGTTGATGGAATTTATGACTAACATCAGGCATGCACCTCTACCTGAAACTGTTGTTAGTTCTTGACTGGCCTAGATTGTTATACTTCTTTAGGCACATCTGTGAATGTTTTGTAGCCTGATATACAAAGTTAACTTCTTCCCATGGCAGTCTGGCAATAAGAATTATGCTCATGAGTTGGAAACCTTTATAACTAACTAAAGCCCTCTGGATTCTCAGGCTGCCCATTCTACCTTGAGCCCATGTTTTCAATTCAAGATTTAAGTAAATCACAGTATAGGGAAGACAACCTAAAAGCCTGGATTGTATAACACCCATAGAATGTTTTTCAGCTGATAGTCAAACTTGAAAGATAAGAAAGCTCACAGTTAAACAGTGCCAGGTTATTTCCCCACTGCTACTTTTTCCGACACAAAGATCTCCCTAGAAAACCAGAAATGAATCCATACAAAGAGATTTACTCTATGTGGTCCTACTATCAAATTATAGAAAGCACTTCCACTATCAAAATTATATAAAGCAGTTAAAGGACCTTGAGAAGGCATAGTCCCATATACAGTAATATGCATCTCATAATTTTGTTTATCTGTCAATGATTTTCACGTGATTAGCTTTAAAAAAACAACCAAATACACGACTCTCAACTTCCATACATAAAAATTGGTCTTTGTTCATTCTCCGGTGACAAGGTGTACCTAGATGATAAAAAAAAAACTGGGAGCCAATCCCATAGCCATTTCTTCAACCATCCCATCAACAGCTCTTCATTGCTTCAACTACTTTTCTAAAGAGGTAATGCTGAGATCAGTCAGAAAGGCTTTCTGAGAAGACTGCTTTGGACTTCTGGGTCTGTTCCAGTCGATTTAAGATGAATTGGCTTGTATCAATGAAGCGCTCAACACAGTTCACAAAGCAGGCCTCAGCCCGACTGTCCAACTTGGGCCCAGGCTTATTCATGCTGCTTCTGCGTCTCCACCTCGATGAAATGTCTACGGCGCCCAAACCCGCGGAGGAATCCATCCTGGCGCGACCATGCAGGCCGAAGCGAGCACAGAACCAACTCACCGCCTTCACGTCTTTTACTTTATATATTTTTTTAAAGATTTATTTATTACATATACAGTACTCTGTCTACATGCCAGAAGAGGGCAGCAGATTGAATTGCAGATGGTTGTGAACCACCATGTGGTTGCTGGGAATTGAACTCAGGACCTCTGGAAGAGCAGTCAGTGCTCTTAACCTTTGAGCCATCTCTCCAGCTCCTTTACTTTATATTTTAAGACAAAGCTTTACTAAGTTGTCAAGGCAGGCCTTTGATTTGTAATCCTGCTTTTTTGTGTAGCAGTTTCCTCTGAGATTGAAACAGTGTATCCTTCAAGAAAGTTCCTTAAGTAGCAAAGTAAACAGCTCAAAATAGCTTAAGGAAGTCCCTGAAATTGATTAGATTCACTAGGCCCCGCCCTGCTGGAGTAAGCAATAAAAGCTAGAAGTTCCCCTCAAATGGGAGGAAGCTGAGCTGGGAAGAAGACTCTGAGACTAGACCCTAAGACCAAACCCAGAAGCCAGCTGAGCTGCCTGGAGGAGGTTGAGACCAACTGAGGCACCTGGAAAGGACACTCTCCAACCTGTTAAGCAGGCTGTATGCTCAGTGTGTTCCAGGTTCCCAGCTTTTGTGAGCTGTCACCCATGCTGGGGTGGGCCTTGGTGATGCAGCTGTCTCTGAGTCATTTCTGCTCCTGTAAGTAACCCCTCAACCATGTTCCTGTGAGTAATCCCAACAAAGTCATTGGTTCACCAAGTTGTGCTTTTGTGGTATCTGTACTTTGGTCTATCATGACTTCCCTGTGTGTGTTGCATTTCCCTGGGGAAAGTTTTATAACACAACAGCCTCCCAAGTAACTGGGGCTATAGACCTGCACTGCACAGCAGCTACACCCTACTCTTGTTAGCAAACCTACAATATCACCTATGGTGCTCATACTGTATGTTAGCTCTCCTGGATTTACTCATCATAAGCAATTATAGATGCCCTCTGACCTCATTCTCCCACCACTGTTGCCATCTTGCTTGTTGTTTTCATGTATTTAAAATATTTTTTCACATAAATGTGTGAGCATGGAACATTTGTATTTCTACAGAGTTCTCCAGATTCATCTGTATTGTAACAGCTGGCAAGATCTCTTTTCATATTTCTCTGTATGCGTTCCTGTGTGTGTATGCTTGTGTGTGTGGTGCATGGGGAGGCAGGAGGTCCACATGAGTTGTCTTTTTCAATCGCTCTCCATTTTATTTTTTGAAACGGGATGACTCACTGAGCCTGAAACCAACTCAGCTGAGGTGTCTGGCCAGCAAGTTCCAGGGATCATCCTGTCTCTGCCTCCTCAGCACTGGGGCTTTAGGTGTGAGCTGCCATGCCTGGCTTTTTGTGTGGATTGTGGGAATCCACAACTCAAGTCCCCAGTGTTTCTATATCAAGCACCATACTGACTGAGCTCCCACCTCTCCGAGACAGGATCCCCATACGTACCCCTGGCTGGTCTAGAACTTACTATGTAGACCAGGCTGATCTTAAACTACTAGACAATCCTCCTGCTTCTGCTTCTGGGTGCTCAGATTATAGGCACATATTATCATGTGTATCTTTTCCTTCCTTTCTTTCTTTCTTTCTTTTTCTTCTTTTTGAGACAGGATCTCATGTAGCCCAGTCCAGCCTCAACCCTTACTATGTAGCTGAAGGTGGATTTGAACTCCTGATACATCCCGAGGCAGACTATCTCATCCTGTGTCACATGTTCACTGTTGGCACACACTCAGGTTGTTTCCATACCATGCAATGAGCACTGGAGTGCAGATGTTTCCAGCAGAGGAATTGTGTGACCACGTGATAGTCCTATTTCAATTAACTACTTAATTAATTTTATGTGTATGGGTTTGCATGCAGTGCCTACAGAATCCAGAAGAAGCCATCCAATCCCCTGGAATTGGAGTTACAAACAGTTGTAAGCTGCCGTGTGGGTGCTGGGAATCAAACCATGGTCCTATGGAAAAGCAACCAGTGCTCTTAACCACTGAGTTATCTCTCCAGTCCCAATAGTCCTTTTAAAATAGGTTTGGAAGAACCCCTGTGTGTTTTTCCATGATGGCTGCATTGACTTCATTCCTCACTGTCAGCCTTACAGAGCCCTTCCCCTCACACACTCCTCACCTTACTTACGACTCTTATCTTTCTAACCAGAGCCATCCAAACAGGGATGAAGTGACATCTTCCTTTGGTTCATTTGCATCTCCTTGTTGATTAGTGACGTAAGCACCTTTTTCTGCTCACATTGGTCATTGTGTGTGTGTGCGCGCGCGCGTGCGTGTGTGTGTGTGTGTGTGTGTGTGTGTGTGTGTGTGTGTGTGTGCAGGTGGAATCCAGAAGTTGGTAGTGGGTGTCTTCTTCAGTTGGCCTCCGCCTTATTTGTTTATCTGTTTCTTTAGTGATCAAATGATTTATTTATTTTATTTCTGTGCATGAGTGCTGCCTGTGCACATGTGTATGCCTGATACCCTCAGAAGCCAGAAGAGGGCATCAGATCTCTGAAACTGCAAGTGACATTGGTAATGAGCTGCCATGTAGGTGCTGGGAACCAAACCCAGGTTCCCTACAAGGACAACAGGGCTCTTAACAGCTGCATTTCCTCTGGTCCCTACCTGCCGGTGCACTCAGAGATTTGCTGGTGAAGGGCCTCTGTCACCATGCCAGCCTTCCACCTTGTTCTCTTGTCTCCCCCACCTCTCTGGCACCGGAGTTAGAGGCACCCTAAACAGGTGCCTAGCTCTTACTCGGGTTCTGGGGATCTGAACTCGGGTCCTCCTGCTTGCACAGTGGGCACTGTCTTTTCATTCCTTCATTGTGTGGCAGCTGAATTTTCAGTTTGATGTCATCTGTTTGGTTTAAGTTTTGCTTTTATGGTGTGAATTTTTAGAACAGTGTTTTTCAATCTTCCTAATGCTGTGTGCGACCCATTAATACAGTTTTTCCTGTTGTGGTGACCCCCAACCATAGAATTATTTCCGTTGAAACTTCATAACTGTAATTTTGTTATGAATCATAATGAAAATATTTTTGGAGATGAAGGTTTGGTGAAGGGGTCTGGACCACAGGTTGAGAATCACTGTTTTAGAGTGATATCCAAAGATTTCATTACTGATGTCAGTGTCGATGACCTTTTCTCTTAAGTTTTTATAGTTTCTGGTCTTACATTTAGGTCTTTAATCTATTTTGAAGTTTGTGTGTGTGTTCATTCTTTTGCACATAGGTAGCCAGTTTTCTTAACACCATTTACAGAAGCTGTGCCCCCACCACACACTCTGTGCTCTTGATGCCTCCATTGAAAGCTACTGTAGAACCTTGGGTGTGTTTCCGTGCTCTCCATTCTGTTCCCCGGTCGATGTGTCTGTTTTTAATGCCAGTATCACACTGTTTTCTCTTGCTGTGTGTTTGAAGCAGATGTGTCTGTTCCTAGGTTCTGTTCCCAGACCCTGTCTCTTCAGTGGGGAAGGCAGATAGTGACTCCTCCCTGTCCTCCCGGCATCCAGAGGGGGCTCTGGGAAGGTTGCCCCTCCAAGTCCTGCGTCCTGCTGATTTACAAGCCTGTCCCTAGTGGTGTCACTGAGCCAGCCACTTCCTCCACATCAGGGACAGCTAATCTTAGGACTCTCAGGATGAACCCAAAGATAATCCTCTATATCTAGATTAAAGGCTGTGTTTTGACCATTACAGTGCATTGAGCATTGAGCCGCCGGCTTAATTGAGCTGTTTATGCCGCTGCCTTGATCTCTTCCCAGAGAATTTACAGCTAATTCCAAGTGTCTCTGCGAATTAAGTGGGCCTCTCCCAACATGCTTTGCCCGGTGCTTGCCTGTGCCAAATCCCACTTGTCCTTGTGTTGCCTAATTGTGTGCCCTTGCTCACTGTTGTCTCTGGCCAGTGCGGCTTCCGGCACACTCCCTCCATGAGACGGCATTAAGGATATAGCCCTGCGAAAGGCCATGCCTCAATTCAGCATAAAGGGGGCAGTGGAAATGGAGACTGGGGTGCAGCAGAAAGGGCATGAATCACATTGACCCATTTGCCACCTCCTGGCAACTAAACGACACCAACCTTCTATTGAAGAAGACTATGCAGCCTAGCACCAGTGCAATGGAAGGAAAGCATTCCAGGCTGGGTTCAACACTCCTGAGCCCTTACCTTGACTCTTATTCTGATTTCCAATGGAAGCTGTCTTTCTTTAGATATATTTTTATTGTTTTTAACTATGTGCATGCATGTGTTTTTGTACAGGTGTTTACAGCCCAAAAGAGCATCGGACCCCTGGAGCTGCTAGTTATGGGCAGTTGTGAGCCGCCCAGTATGTACCGAGCCATCTCTCCAGTGCAGGTTTTTCACTCAGTGTTGCAGAGATGTCCCAGGGTAAGGGGGAAGGAATTTAGAAAAACAAACAGCGAAGGACTGCCGTGGACTAGTTGAGGCATGCTTAGGGTCACCTAGCATTTGCTGTTTGTCTGAAATTCAGGTTCTACTGGGTGTTTTTATTTTTTCTTCTGACCCAACTCCAGGTCACTTTGGGGTATAGAGATGACCCTCTCCCCCCTTGCCATTCTCTACTGACTATACAAACGAAATTTGTATTTCAGTGCTGACTGAAGAGTCATCTAGAGAGTGTTTGTTTGTTTGTTTGTTTTAGAGACAGGGTTTCTCTATGTAGCTCTGGCTGTCCATGAACTCCTACCACAGACCAGGTTGGTCTTGAACTCAGAGATCCACCCGTCTCTGCCTCCCAAATGTTGGGATCAAAGGCATGCACCACCACCAGAACCAATTTTAATCCAGACCATTGAATCAGAATTTGTACAGGTTATTTCAGATATGGATTGTTTGTTTTGCCCCAGATAGGGTCTGGTGTAGCCCAGGCAAAGTTACTATGTAACCAATGATGACCTTAAACTCTTCTTTCATCATCATTTCCTGAGGGTTG